GCACGGGCCGTCGCGGCTGTCGGCGACGAGCCCCGCTATCCCGTCTGGCTCGGACGCCGCCGCGGCGCTGGGCCAGGCGCATGCGCAGGGGTCGCAGCAACACGGCCTCGGCCCCGCGGCGTGCGTCGCGCCGAGCATGCCGCCGCCGGCGCTGCCGACGGGGCCCCACGCGGACGCCCGCCCGGCCACGGCCACGCACGTGCCTGACTGCTCCAGCCCCCTGAAGCGCGGCCCCGCATCGCGCGGCCCCGGCTGCGGGCCGGACGGCGGCGGCGGCTCGCCGCTCAAGCGCATGCGGGGTGCGGCGGCGGCGGCGCAGGCGCCGCAGGCGCCGCATCCCGGCGCTGCGGCCGCGGACGACGCGATGGCGTGGGCCTTGCAGGCGTCGATCAACGGGACGGTGCGTGGCGCAGACGGGGGCGTCGGCGGCGCCGGTGAGCTGGATTTGTTAGAGGAGCCCGAGTGGCCGGCGCCGCAGATCGCGTGAGCGGCCTGTCCCTGCGCGCCTGCCCCTGCGCCGCGGCCTGCGCGCCGCCGCTCCCGCTTGTTTCGACTCACCAGTTGTGCTGGCGCGCGCCGGCCTCTTCGCGCACTTCTTGCACGATTCCCAAGAGGTCCCCCAAAGACTCGCTTGCACTGCTTACTTGACCGCATCGGCTCGGCATGCGTCACAATTACTTGCGTTTGCTGGGGGTTGTCGGGGGCTGCGGTTGCCCCTTCGCGCCGAGTCGGCATGGGGGGAGGGGTTTGAGGCATGCTGGGATTCCCTTTGACCAGTGCCGCAGGATTTTCATCAGTGATGGGGGGAGCGCCGCGGGCTGCACTGCACGGCTCCTCTGCTGCACGGCGTTGCATTGAATACGAACGAGGTTGGGCAGAAGGGCCGTCCCTTTGCCATTGATTGGCGCCCGGTGGCAGTCCACCGGGCCGGCCGCGTTGCCGCACCCGCCCAGCTTTTGCGCCCGTCGCAACCAACCCTTCGGACTGCCGGAGCCGCGGTCCATTCCGCCCCAGTCCAAGCCGCATCCCCCTTGTCGGCCCGCGCCCCCAACATGGCTGCGGCAGTGAGACGCCAGGGGCGCAGCATCCGCCGCGCTGCATGGACGGGGCCCCTCGGGCCGCTGAGTCAGCGGCTGCCCTTCCGCGCCCCATGACTTGCGGCACGGCGGCCAGCAGTCTGGCCGCCTCTAAGAGTTGGCGGCGCCCCCTGGTCGCGGCGCGTGCGGCTACGACCGCGGCGACCTGCGGGCGCCCCCGCCGCCCGCCATGGCGCAGGAGGTGTGCGCGATCGCCGGCTGGGCACGGGGGTTTGCCCGCCTGCTATCCTCCTGCCGGCCCCAATCACAAGCTTTTGCATGGCAGGGCGCCAGGCGGACCCAGCATGCGGATCTTTGGAGGAGGTCGAGGCACACCAGGTCACCGGCTGCCCCGCCCTATCCCCTGGCCCCTCCGCTTGACGTTCCCTGATTTGATTGACTACTGGGCCGAACGAACCTGCACCCATCACACACGCAGGGCGCGGGCGCGCCGCACCCGCCATCCGAACTATTGCACGCGCCACATATGTTCCAGTAGCTTAATCACCATCGAATTGAATAGACGCCTTGCGTAGAATGTACCCTTGTTGTTAGTACAGAGTTGCAAACGTTTTTTGGCAGGCAATCGGCTGCATGCATGCACTTGTACCCCAAGATCCGTCTTCAGGGAGCGCTGGTTCTCACGTCTTCATGTCCCTGTTGGGTAGCCTGCGGGCGACCCCCAGCGACGAGCGCCGCCAAGCGCGCCGGCGCAGGATATACCAAAGCACGTCCACGGCGAATCACCCGCCGGCGACAGACACACCGCGATGGCGCCCACGCATGCACGGAATTGCGGCGCTGCCGTCCGCTTCGAGCCAGCAAGCGGAGGACGCTCCGGCCTGTGGCGAGCGAAACCAAACTGCGGCAGCGCTCGTCTCCCCTTGCGGTGTTGCGTTTATTGATAACCGAAAGCGGAGGAGCGGCTCCACCTGTAACATCTCAAGTGCTTTCGTATTACCGCATTGCATGGGATGGTAACGGTGGTGGTCACGGTTGGGAGGCGCCTTGCTGCTCGGCCAGCCTTCATGCACGGGGTCATGTGCCATGGTCATACGCCCTGTGCTAGTAAGGCCGTGACATCCCTTGCAATGTATGCATCACTCTCCCTGAAAGATGGAATGCAGGATGGTGCGCACCGCCGCTCTTGTGTACCCGTCAGCAGACGAGCGCAGCGGCACCCACTCCTGGTCAAGTCAACGCACTCCATACGACGGCTGACACCAGCAGATAGCAACGGAGGGCGCATGCATAAGAGCAGTGTATTAGCCTGCATAATGTTCCTGACAGGTGTGAGGCGGGGACGCATCGAAAGAACAAGCAATTGTCGATCTTGAATGCTCCTGAATGTGTAGTCAGTCTCATTGATGTAGATCTGTTACGTGGTGCTTGATTTACCGCCCTCACTGCTACGGCAACTTCTTCTTTCGCCCTTTTCTTCAAATCTCGGGATCGGGACACGCCATCAAACTCTGCGTCGTTCTCGGCCCAAAGGCATGATTCGTGGTGCTGTCACGGACCAATCTTTTTGATCAGCATCGGCGCCAGCAGCTGCACTGCGCGTGCAGCAGGACCGGCGAGGCCGATGTCGGCGCAACACAGGGACATGCTGCTGGTGCTCGTCCTGTTGACGGCGGCCGCCACTGGCAGCAGCGGCCTTAAGCTGACGGTGCACCCGGCCTCAACGGAGTGCTTGACGGAGTTCGTTTCCAATGAGCACTTTGAGGTGGGCAGCGCAGCGCGTATGTGTTGGCGCGGCCGGCTGCCTCCACGCCACTATCACCTCAAGGCAAAGGCACGATGCTCCCCACGGCACAGACGGCGCTGCCGCCCCAGCACCTCAGCTCGTGCTTCCAAGCCGCGTCGCAGCCCATCCAGTGTAGTGGACGGCCGCCTACGCTACCCTCCGCTACGCAGACCGCGCCGGCCGCCCGCCCTCCAGAGGAC